TAACTGTTTTTTTAGAACGCTGACAAAATCGGCTAGATACAACAACAAAGCCTTTATTCTAAAAATTTTGCGGTCAGTTGCATGAATGTTGTTCTCTTGTTAAAGCTCAAATTGATACCAAGTCTAATAGATACTCGATTATAAATAGACATCTGCTGATTCTGCTCATTACAACATTTTCTCGGCAATTAAACTAACAACCACTGAAAACACATAATAGCCAATTGTTACACTTAAATGGGGCTTGTAATAAACCACATAATGAACATTTCAACTTCCTCTCCCTAAACAAATGAACTACAACAAAGACAGTGAGAATCGATTTAAATGATCAATAGCCTTTAAAATCAAACTCAATTTCAATCACTTCATCTCCTTCCCTTCTTCGCTAGATGGCCAGTCTTCCTCTTGTGCCGACTAAAATCCGACACAAACCGAAATGTCTGGCTGCATTTACTACAGATATAGGGCCGGTCGCCAGTATGAACCCTAATGTGCTCCGTTCGAGCCCAAGCCCATTTGAACCTCATCTTGCACCCCTTCCATGGGCAAGCCAGGGGCCTATCATCCAGATGAACCTTCTTATGCTGAACCAAATACTTGTGCGAAAAAAACTTTTTGCCACACCCTTCTTCTGGACATATATCTTTTTTATGCAATGCAAGATCATGCTTCGTGCTGAAGCTCATCGTGCACCCCTCGATATTGCATGTGTAATCTTTCGCTGCTTCCTCTTCCTCCTCTTCTTTTATAGGGTTTGGAGTGGTTTTGGGTTTCTTCTTCCTTGATTGCTTGTTGATGGGTGGATTCGCGCTGGTGTCTTTAGACTTTGATGGTTTTGTTCTCAGGCGAGTGTTTGGTGCTTCTTCAGTCTCTTGCTCAATGTGAAGCTTACTGGTGCTTCTTGTAATGGTCGGCTTTGTTTTGGTCTCAGATTTCGCTTTCAGCCTGCGGCTGCTTCGTACTGTGGTTGGCTCTTCTTCAGACTCATATTTGACATCTGACTTACGACAGCTTCGAAGAACTCTTGAGTGTTTAGTTGAAGATGTTTGAGCTGCCGAAGTATCCGAAACTTTCGCTTTTTTGTCCATTACTTGGGGTGTGACACATTTTTGTTTCTTGGCACTTGCCCTTGATAATGGCCGCTTCTTCCTCTTTCTGGATCTTGAACTCTTCCTTGAGACAATTTTCTCATTCTTGATTTCAGTCTCAACTTCTTCGGACTTAATTTCGGAATTACTCTTGGAATAGAATCTTTCGTGCTTTTGTTCTTGATCGTCCTTTCGATCACTTAATAACGGATGTACTTGATTCCTCATCCAAACTTTTCCACACCATTTTCCTGCAACGACGATTTTCCTTTGCCTTCCAGGTCTCCTTTTTGAAGATTTTGATGTCAACGGAGAGTTGTTTGGTGATTTACAGCCAAATGCACGGTATATGACTGCATTATAAGGAAGCTGCTTGCTGTAAAGAGGAGATTTGCTTAGATTTGCACTGTAGAAGAGATTGATGCCCAGTTTCACTGCCCAGTCGCTGCTCGTGGGCATCGATTCTTCGTCTTCCATAGCTGCCCGGATACTTTCTAGGTCTTTTTGTGTGGGGCCCCTGAAATCGATACTCTTCCACTCATAATCAGTTTCTAACTCTTCTGCCAACAGTTTGGCTTCTGTCTCGATTTTCGGATAATCTGCAAGGTGCATTTGTTGTGAGATATTGTAAGTAGAAGAAGAGCTTTTTCTAAAGTTACCAGTAAGAATCAAAAGATAATTATGCAAGGAAATGGAAAAAAGAAAAAGGGAAAAAGGCAGATTTCCTACAGGACTCGTAGTTTTGTTTAAACTTAAAAAAAGCATATAAATGGACATGGTTTTCTTGGATCCCCAGTACATTCTATCAAAAGCTTAATAAGGAAAGTCATTTGATATATGGCCGAAACTCTGATATGATGATTTCCCACTGGACATGTGATGGCAAGTGGATTTTAGGGCAAAAAGCATGCAAGTAGCGAATCAGACGCAGAATGATGAGAACAGAGAAAAAAAAATGAGCACATAAAAGAAAATGAATAAAAATTATATAAAAAAAATTGACTTTTATTATGATCTTCAAATCTAATCAAGTTCCTTCTCATACAGATGGAGGAACTAATAAATCACACTTTGGACATATCAGGAGTAGTATTTAGGACTAATAAATCACACTTGTATTATTAACCTGACTGAAAAGATCGAGAGAGAGAGAGAGAGAGAGAGAGAGAGAGAGAGAGAGAGAGAGAGAGAGAGAGAGAGAGAGAGAGAGAGAGAGGGAGAGAGAGAGAGAGAGAGAGAGAGAGAGAAGAAAAGAGCTTCAACTAATCCATCAATATACCAAACTATCTTAAAGACTCCGTAAACCATATAAAACATGTATTATAACCATATTTTTTGAGGTGCTCATAAGACATATCTATGTAAGACATCATTTTAATGTGTCTTCAAGTAAATTTGAAATTTTGAATTGAAGCACGCATTTATGCCACAGTTCTTTTTCCTCAACGTTCTTTTTCCTCAACCTGACTATCTGTATTCTATCTGAATCAAGATAAAAACAAAACAAAATAATTGGCATGAGGTGGAAACACTTTCTAACTGTAGCCAAGCCAAACGAATTTCTGCTTTCTGCATCCAAATAATAGTACTCACTATTTAGAAGAGAGAATTTCAAATGAACCAAAATCAACCAAATAAAGAAAATACAGCCATAGAAAGAAAACTGTTGGATAGATAATGATATAAGAAAGAAGACCACTTAAAAAAGAGACTCACCCGGATGACACAAAATCATAATATTCACACCACCTAGTGGATGAAGTAACTTCTCAACCTCCAATGCATGTTCGAGACAGAAAACATGCATTCTAGAAGAATCCTTGTCAGATCTCTCAATAGCTGATACAACTGAGCATTGTCTGATAGCATCATTATTTCTTGAAGGTGAGGTTCTAGTAGAATTAGGTTTCATGACTGTGCTCACTGACCCAGATGCTATCCTTTCCATCTTCACATTGCTCTGACAAATCTTGGCAGTCCCAGTGGTGCAATATTTGTTCTCTGGTCCCTCATAGTCAACACTTCTTGTTTCCCCTATTGACTTTATTGAACTACTAGATGTTTCCATTTCCCCATTGTCCTCCAGATTATCAAGCATACCCGGATGATCTCCACTGGAAAACTCTGGTGTTGATCCATTCATTTCATCATATTCATTATCCGAATCATTCTGGCAATCAGATTCAGGTAGGTTTATATTTGCACATCTTGTCACGTGACTCGAATCATTATCTTCATCAGCTCGTGGCGATGTTGCTGGAGACCCGTCCTCATCAAGGTCAGATGAATCTCCATAAGCAGAGGCTAGAAGAGCAAGCGCTGAGGCTCCTCGGCAAGCAGCATCAGACCCATTATCCTCAAAATTATGATCTGAAACATGAACTGGAGATGGACTACGATATTGGGCATGACGCTCTAATTGTTCTGTTAAAAAGAAATAGATATTGCATATAAATAAAACTTAATGCACTGGTCAGAGAAACACAAGCAAAAAAATTAATTACACTATTGGGAGTCGGGACTGAGTATATAATGTCATTATACTGCTTATTTTTCAGATACTACAACTAATTGTCTAAGACCAGTGTCATGATTAGATCTCTCTCTTGATATTAGGTGACTCTGGGCCATGAGCACGCGATTCTAACCAATTTCTATAGCCCTTTTTAGTAGAGTTGGAATTTTCAAGAAATGAATTTGAGTTCATAATATGACCCTTGAACCTGAATAAAACAAATAGTAGGGTTTCAGCTCAGGAATGAATATTTTAATTCTTTGTGCATTTGTATGCGCGTCCAACAAATTTGTAATGGATATGCAAGTGGATCCTGTACAACACAGAGGCCGTAGAAAAAGGAGGACATAGACAGTATTCAATATATAATCCAAGAATTTCTGTGCCTAAGACAATTAATCATGTTACCCCCATGGATGAACTACGAAATTTTAAAAAATATGTATTTCAGTAACAATACTGATAGAATTAACTGGATCAAATAATATGTGTCTTTGACATGTCCTAGCAGAATGAATGGGGGAATAAAACAGCCAAAACATCATCTTACCATACGAAGGACAACCATGTATAATCCATAAAATTGAGTTTATGGCAAGACACAACTGAAGGATAACTAAATCGGTAAACATGAGGAACTTCATAAATTATACAGTATCTTAAAGGAATTTAATAAATAGAAAACGTTGTAACTTCGTCCTTTGTTCTTTTTTATTCTTTTTTTGGATTATTTTTGGGCTAAAGACAGTATTATTCAAATTTGTCCTGATATTAGTTTTTTTGTCATAAATCTATTTTAAAAGTGCTGAATCATAGATGAAAGGAATTGCAACACTTGCTGTCAAATATCATTAATATTATATGCATAATATCCAAGGCTACTTAGATGAAGTGCTTCCCAGCAGTTGTAACTTATAGCTTGTAATATCTGAACTCAGCAATGCAACCCTTATTGTTGAGTATTTCTAGGGACTTCTCTACTATAGATAAGCTGAATTTTCATCAAAAATCCACTTTTCTCAACTTCATAGAATCATAAATCACAATTCATAGAGAATCTCTCATTTCCACACCTCGCCAGATTCCCCATTCGCACCTCTCCACCACTACTACCACATTGGCTGAATATGTTCATCCTTACAAAGTATCTAAATCCTAAAAGTCAGCAAAGTTGAAATTGTACAAATTGCATATGCTAATTTCATGTTGATGGTTTTTGGTAATAATCAACATGTTCAAAATTTGTTGAAAGAGTACTAACTAGTTAAAATCATCTGTCTATTTGAAAACTGTTATGAAATAATAATATTACATATCAAATACAAGGCAAAATTAAATGAACTATACAGCAAGGATAATACAGCAACTCTATCAAATTGTAGGAATTATTTCTGACGTGAAGGACACCTCAGGCCTTCTAATAAAAAGATTTCAAGGGAGACACAAGGTCAGAGACACTCTAGATTTGTTAAGTGAAGGAGGAAAGAAAGGGGGAAAACAAAGAGGCATATTGTATGTTCAGATGGTGCTCTTATATGCCATATGATTGATTTGGGTGATAGATGTATGACAAATGTCAGAAAAGCAAGAATGGCAAAACATGCTGTTTCTCTAATATCTGAAACTGAAAACAGTTCCTAATTTCCTATTGTTAACATATTTAAGTATCAATCCTGGGCACAAATAGTGCCTATATCTGTCATAAAATATTCAAGCATAGTTTTATAAAACAAAAATATACATGTGATAGGTGCGACTTACCAGAATCACAAAGCAGATCAGAAGTGCTTCTCCTCCAATGAATTTTGTCATCTCTATTGCTATTTTCTCCAGAGACAATATTCTGCTCATTAAGAAAACCACAATCAGCAGACATGAGGTACCTAGCAGCTGCTTGCTTTGGACGGACAACGGCCACACAAGTAAAGCTCAATATCCCGCAGGTAACACATGATAGTAGTCCGTGATCCAACAGACCATCACTATGGACTGCACTCTCGTTCTCATTTTCCCCGTGCTGTGAGTCTGAACCTGAGGAATTATGAGCACTAATTCCAGACTTCTCAGATGTTGCAGAAGCCTTTGAATGTTCAATCCCAGCATTTCTCCCTAGAATTACATCATTTGCAGGAAAAACTCTGGAAGCTTCCAGTGCTTCCTCGCGACTGCACAAACCAAGGGATAATCTAGGCTTCATCTTTAACTGAGATCTAAGAAGTGAATTCGAACATAAAGGGCTATCGTGCATATTATGTGGAAGAACTATGCAAGAAGACCCTTTATTGAGAAGAGCACTTAGCAGGTCATTGGTTTCAATCACATTTTGAACAAATATTTCCTTCACCATCACTTCTCCTTCACCTCTCATCTTATCTTTTAGCCTAGAGCTTCGTGGCTCAGAAACACCAATCAAGGGTACCCTATAACAAGAAAATAACTTCGTGTTTACATAAATATAACAAAAATAGTCAAATCAAATGTCTTCAGCTCAAATAGAAGCTTGATTTCTGCCATGATAGTTGACAGGTTCAACTTTTGATGATGTTTACCTTTATCGGCTCTTCTACGAATATTTCACAAAAGAGTAACTTTTGATCCGGTACGGTTTTAGTACATAATTTAAATTCTGATTTGATGATATAGAATTTTTGGTAGTGTTGAATCTCTTTAAAGGAATCCAAAGTGGATGCTTGAGATGGTCAAGGCATTGACTTACTAGTAGTTTGTGTTGCATGGTAGAGCCGTAGAGGAAGACGTCATAGATGGTAGATCTAGATTATAAATTGAGACATTTTCACAAATAGATAGAGTATTCAAGTAGCATCCTGTAGAAATATAGATAATCATGGTAAAATGTGCAAAGCCTCTTGAAAATCCAATTTTCAGTCCTTTTTAGACTACCATGGTTCATGGATAACCTACTAAATCCCTCATATGACCAATTATTATCAGTTTAATGATGACCTAATGAAGTAACAAAGCACCTTTAGTTCGCCATTGATGAACATGCAAGTAAAAGATAGTATGGAATAGATAGAAGAAGTCATTCAGGTTCCTATTGAAATTTTAACACAGAACAAAATAGTCATTACAAACCTTGAACATAGTGATAATGCAAGGGCATACAGCAATTGAAAATGAGAAACCATCGGAGGATAGTTAATCGATGCCCTCCGAACTGCAGCTTCTTTAGCTACTCTCAACCATCCAGGAGTTGCAATATTTGCTGCCTCCGCACAGTTAAATCCTACCAAAAGCAAGAAAAGATTTTACAATTATAACTACAACTCAAATTCAATATGAATCAGAATAACATTCGTGTGCATATCCACAGGTCATAGATTTATAAATTTTATCCAACAATGTTTCATAGTTGAAAGCAGGTCAATAGTACAAGTATGAAATGGAGAGTGAAACGTTAATCCAGAACCTACCATGATTGAACCCAGAATGATAAGCACCTGGGAAAGTGACAACAAATTCTCCAGGATTCTGGACTAATCTGCTTGGAAAGATAAAGAGTAAGAACTTGAACATAGCTGATAGCTAGGTAAAAATCAGAGCCAAAAATAAATTTCTATCATCCATTGTACACTATTTACCTGCAGCATGGAATCCCTGCACCGAGTAGAACTTCAGGAGACATAACAGTAGTTTTCTCACCCAGGATAGTGAAAGTTACTGGGACAAAAACAATTACACAATGAATTAGTAAATCAAGCAGAAGAAACCGATCAACAAAACCACTACAGAATGACACATATAGAAAGCACAATCTCCTTCCAGAGAAGACAACGTCAAAATAATCATACTGAAAATGAATGGATGTGCTGATTAATTACATTCCTATGATCATAAGGAGGCCAAGCAAGGATATCAGGGATAGTTCCAAAACTACAAATAATAATGCAAGTAGTTGAAGGAAATTTTAGTGTAGCGCTTTCCCTATTCATTAAGTCTTTTAGATGCTAAAAGCTCAAGAAAGATATGACTTCTGCCTGCTATCACAGCCACAAAAAAAGAAGAAGAAGAAATAACAAGCACACAAACATAAACTTTGTTGAAGAGAAAACTAGCAATTGCAGGGATAAATGCAATTGGCTTGCCCTCACTTACACCTGCACACTAAACACTAAGAGCAAGTGTCAGTACCTAAACCTATAGCACGTTCCTTGGTTTTCACGTGTCATTTTAGTAACGGGGCAGCATCCATGCACCCTGCTTAAAATTATCAAGTAAACAGATCACTAAGAATTAGAGTTCAATCTGCCTGACAAGTGACAACTGATAACTCTGATTTACTAGAGCGGTGTTAATCCAACAAACCAAGTAAACCCTCATAAACCAACAAAATTCCTGAATGGATGCAGAATTTACCGGAAATATTTTAGATATATCATCAAGGTAATGGAACCATCAAAAGAAAATAAATATAAGTTGTAAGTATATAGTTTGTAAATGCCACCCAATAAGAATAAAATGAATGCAATTCATTAGTCATTTCTAAAGCGTTCCTATGGACAGTCAACAAGATACTTACAGGAGCCACAAAAAAAATGTAATTGTAATCCATGTTCTCCATACATAATTGGCAACAAATTTAATCTCAGAATTAACATGTAATCTCTCTTGGAGCATAACAAGAGGGAAACTAATGCTAAGGGCATGTAGTTATCATTAAATATCATAACAGAGTGATATAGCAAGCTTAAATTCCAAAACATTATGAAGTACATGGGAAAAAGGAATGTCAATGATGTTGAGAACTGTTTCTTAGCACAAAAAGCGATAAGTTATAATTGTATAAAGCACTCAAGATTAAAGTACAATAAAGTGCAATAACAATCAATAACCAAACTAAAATTAAGCTCGCCAGTACCTACAGAAGACATACAGTATTCAAAGATAAGGGTGCTACTTGCTAAACAAAAACAGCAAGATGCACATAAAATTACCAAGAAAACGAGCACCAAGTTCAGTAATCTCATTCCACAACATATATAGTTGGTTAGGCCTCATTGAGAAAATAAATGATCTACAGAATGAACATGAAAGATAAACTGACACTATGTACCACCTATTCCTCGGTCTCATAAGCAGATACATGTAACTCTGGTACAAACTGTTAGATGCATTAACACTCAAATAGCTAAAAGGAAATTGTAAGTCTACAAAACCACAGAGTCGCCTGTTAGACAAGTTAATCTACAAACTAGTCATGCAACCGTAACGTCAACATTTTCATGAAATGCATCATTTCAATTGTGTTCTTACTCTAAGACGCAGACGCATTGCTAGTCAAACATCTAAAGAAAGCTATAGGAGCAAATTGCAGCTCTATAACACAACGTAACAGAGTCGTGGTCATACAAATAAATCACGAATAAATTAACGAAACAGAATGTAAAGCACGACCACATTGCATGTCTAAGCATAAATTGAATATGCACCAACACTCAAAATAGCTAAAAGAAAACGATGACTAAATTAATATAGAAGACCAGTCATGCATACAATCCAACACAACGGCAAAAA